TGTATTTCCACCTAGGTTTTGCCTTGTGGTTTTATCATACTACTGAAACTGCTAGCCAACAATCATCTCAACCAAATCCTTCATCATATCCAATTCTAGCACAACTCTTTCTTCCTTTTATCTTGAATCTCCAAGTTAACTTCTTAATTTCTTTGCAGAACTTTTGCTGTCTAATTTTATAAACATTATTCAGACAGACTGTATGCATCAATGTCATAAAATCAGAAGAAAGTGAGAAGGAAACTCAAGATTTCACCTACCCAAGGGAAGGCCAATTCTTACTAAATAATTTCTGAACAATAGCTTTAAGATTCCTTATAAAGAAGGCCTTGAAAATCAGTGTTTTATATCTTCTCCTAAAAAGTCAGTTTCAGTTTCTATTTTCCTGCTTAAAAAGTTATTCCTAATAACAGTCCTAAAGTCCTAGCAGCATTTTCAGCTTTTTTTCTATCCTATCAGAGTGAACATGGAGAACAAACAACTTGTTACCCTCATATTTTCAGCAACCTTTTACATATTTGAAGACTGAAATCATGTCCTCTTTCTGCAATTTTTGTTTTTTTTTTAAAGACTAAACAATTTTAGCTCCCTCAATCTTAAACTGTAAGGTGTATTTTTTGACTTCTAAGTATTTTACAGTCTTGGGGTTTCTCTCCAGGTGAATCACACCTCTTTTCAAGGGGGACTTACAAAAGTAGGCACAGAGATCCACCTGAGATCTTACCAGGAGCAAGAAAAAGGGAAAGGCGATTTATTTTTTTCTTTTCAGTAAAACATACAAGAGATCTATGCATTTCAATGAGGGGAGAGGCTTTGTTGGTTTTGGTATGTTTTCCCCCACTCAGTGTGCAGGCTGATGATTTATCATAAGTTCAAAAACTGTTCTTCAGACCTGTATTTAATTAGACATTCCCTATTTTATTACTGGATTGTTGATTACTTGTGTCCTTATCATTATTGAGTTGCAACTTATTTACAAAGAACAACGTCTCTAGTTTGCAAAAAGTAAAAATAAAGCTTCAGTTTTTCTGTTCTTTCATCTCGTGGTCAGCTTTTACTATGAACAATGCTGCGCTCAGGATATAACCTTGGGGAAACACCTGACACATCCTTCCACATAGACAATAAAGGAAATACGAATTTTTGAACAACAGAGTTGCAAAAATTAGACATCATGAATTTTCACTAGGTTTATATTTCACTGTTGGCTTACAAAGATATTATCGAATGAGTATCAAAAATATTGATAGGGAGTTTCTCAGCAGCTAAGAAACAAAATTTCACTTAAGTTTGTATTTTCCTCCAACTCACTATTGCTGTTTATTAGAAGAATAAGGAGTTTCTATGACTCATGATCATTTCCATGCAACTCTTGATTCCACAAATTCAAGTCACAAACACAAATCTATGTTCTGGAGCAGACTGTGGTGGGGCTCTGGCGACACGTCTTGTCTGAAGAACCCACGAAAGCGTGGTTTGAATTTAAGGAAATTTCTTATTCTTTCACATATCCCCATGCATACTGAACTGATAGCAGTTGGTGTCACAGTATGCCTTTTTGAAGAGAGAAGGACTAAGAAACAGTACAGCAGTATTTTTAGAGAACTACAAACATACATACAAACCTGCTAAGAAATGGCTTCTCCTTAGATCTACCTAGACCACCCAACCCCTCTCAGCAGCTAGCTGAGCTTGCATGCTGTACCCATAGACTTGATGCAATGTCTTTTATACTCTTACAGATGGTTGAGATCTTTCTCAGCATGTTCAAATGGCCTTTTCAAGTGACCCTTCATACCGTATCTGCACTCAGTTAAGAAAGTGGCATGGAAGTCCCTACAGGAGGGTGGGTTGCAAAGCATAAAATCTGAGCAACAGTTTGATATTTGTTTTTGTTTCGCTTCTGCAAAAGACCTAAAATTATTACAAATTATGTAAAAAACCCTGTATCTTCCACAGCAGATAGAATATTTGCCTCCAACATAAGAACACTAAAGTCCTATCTCTTGATCATAAAGATGAAAAAATTGAGTCTGAGTCTTCTACATTTCAGAAGAAAGTCTCAAAATTTTGGTTCTTGGACATCCTTGAGGAAAGGCAAGGAGGTCTTTTCCTTCAGTCTTTCATTCTCTGTTCCCACCTCTTCAAACATACTCTTCGACCAGATCTACCCATGCTGCTTATGCATACGGTCATACATCAAACAGTTTTCCTAAGCACTATTTTTATTCCTCTGAATACCCTTCATTTTTATGAATCATATTTTCTAGAAAAAATGACAGTTCTATTCTAGACTTGTGCTGAAAAGCAGAATGTATCTTCTCATTGCAGATCCCTTAATGATTACAGTTTAAGATGAAATCCCCTCTTCAACAGCTAGAAAAAGACCTATTAAAACTGTGAAAGAATTTAAAGCATATGATTCCTAAGCCAGTTCTGCTATTAACAATCTGAATTTCTTCTCCTTAAATGCACTAACACAAACTGTTCTTTTGGCCAGAAGCAGCAAAGAATAGAGCAGGCTGTGGTATTTCCTTCAAATAATCCTGTGTTTGTGCCAAAAGCCTACCTATTTTTTCTTACATCAAACATGGTGAGTTCAGAATAGCTGTAGCTCATGTTAAAGGAGAGTAAGCTCCTGATTTTTTTTAAATTTGCTTTTGGTATACTTAGAGAAAGTATTTCTGGAATACATTTTAGGACTCATCAGCACCTCAAAAAATGATTTATTGGCATTGGTTTGAGCAGAACATAAAGAAGAAAAATGACTCCTTGCTGCTATTGGAGACTGGGGGGAAAGGTTCTTAGAAGTGCATTTCTAAGATACAACTTGCTTGGCTGATGAAGACAACTAAGGAAGTTCTCACTATGTTCAAATTGATGTGTTTGTTAAAGTCTAATTTGCCCACCCACTCCTTTTTTCTCCTGCAATGTCCAATCTTAAAAACAAATGGACAGATGTTCTTTTGGATCAGCTTGTAAGACTTGCAACGTCAGAAGTGCAAACAGACTTTAGCTGTTTAGTTCAGGAAATGAAATACAGACAATCTGATAAACAAACACTGTTTATTTCTCCAGCTTAAAGTGTGCTTTGGATTTCTTTTCAAAATACTCCTACAAGGAACTGACTATGAATATTAAACATGTGCTCCTAATTTAGAGATCTCAATGTCAAGGTCAGAGTGGTCTTTAACGTACTCAATTTGTATAGTGAGGTTATAATGCAAATGAAGGTCCCTGAACTCTAACCATATTAAGGAAACAATAACAACAAATTTTATTTACATAGAAATTTACTCCAAAAAAAGCTTATAAGACCTATGAATACACAAAGATGAATTAGAATAACAAGATTTAGGACAATGCATGATGTAAAGTATGCTGCAATTTAATCTGAGAGAAAGAGAGACAAGCAGACAGGAAGACAAACAGAGGTTTAAATTAGCTGATACATAACTATATAGTTTGGACTGAGGCAAGCCAGAGTGGAAAATATTCTTAGGCTCCACTGATTCAGTATTTTATGTTTATTGGGTCATGTATTTAGATATCATTCAAATGGTTCTTCCTTACCAGCAGCAAAATTGAAACCTATTGCAGCATTTTGCTGAGACATTATTTCATTGTTAATTCTGTACAGGGACATGTGATGCCCTGATTTTCAGCCATAACTACGTGGACCACACAGCACAGAAGAGACCAGCATACATGTCTCCAGAATGCTTATATGGCTCTTTTACCTGTCCTATATATACACACCAGGGGGAAGTGAGCTGGCACAGCAGCATGATTTATACTATAAAAAGTCAGCAAGGATTTTTTTCCTTTTCTGAGATACAGAAGAAGATTCAGAGTGCAGTAGGTGAATTTTGTAGTAACTCATAGTATTCTCTGAAGAGAAGACAGCTACATACTTTCTGTCCTTTGGGGCTTGCATAAAACCACAATTTGGCCCTTAAGAAAGAGGACAGATACCCATTGAGTCATCAGTAACATTTCCTGCTTTGCTTCAGACACCTCCCTTCCAGCTATGCAGTAAGCATCATTTTCACCAGGAGGTGATTCAGAATCCATGAAACAGTCATTTTTCCAAGCAACGGAAGACTCTTACTGAATGAGTTAAGGTTTAAACAGCTTTTAAGTTTAAAATGAATTCAAATTCAAGTGAAAGAAGTTCAACAAGTAGCACTGAGCCATGAAACCTCTTACTTGCTGTTCTAAAAAGGACCACTCCATATTTGACACCTTTCACTTTTTTCCTAGCCCTGATCTCCGTGCCACTCTTTTTTAGCAGGAATAATTAAATTAAAAAGAAAATTTAAAAAGTGGTTGTAGAGACTTATGTACCCCCTATAGTTCTTGTTTTGTCTCTTGTAATAAACAAGAGTCTCCTCAGAATATGACTGATGATTCACTTAAACAGTGGAAGCATTATACAATCAGCTTATCAAAGAGAAATTATGCTTTACTTTGGCTATCAGCCAGCAAATCAAGAGAAAAATACCTTTCAGACTGTTTTTTTTCATCCAATGAGATGCAAACCAATAAGCTGTGAAAGATTCTGTGAAGCTTCTTGTATTTATCCTAGACTTCAAGAACTTGAGATGAAGTTGTACTACTCATCTCTCTGCATTTCCCTTGTACTTCCTACATGCTGTCTGAAATCTTCACGTGTGATTACAAAAGAAGCTAACTAATAAGGATATCAATATACCTATGAAAAATTCTGTACTCTAACAGCAATAACACAGAGACTACTATTTGTACATAATTTGAAATATTTTCCCCAAGCTCTTCCTTGTAAATGTCATCATAAATAATGAAAACATTCATGTTTTATACACACAGAGCCCTTGTTTCCTTCTGATCTATGTTTCAGACTGAACACTTCATTTCAGGAATCTCCTGTCTCCTTAAAGGGCAAGTTGGGATTAAAATACACTTCTTTTTTTTTTTTCATATTTCATGTACTGCTTTGCAAATAAAACAGCCAATCTTACCTTTAAAGAAACGATGAGATGCAGCAAAATTTATAGCTTTCTCATCTCAAGCCACAAAATGTCTTTAGTTGTAGCCTATAACTTTCTGTAAGAGAGATTGCAGCTCTCTGCAGAATCCAGGCTTGAATTCTACCCCTGTAACACAGGAAACAAAAGAACACATTCTGTAGCTGAGAGTTGTCCCTACTGCATTTAAGGTCCTTAACTAGAAGACAGTACTAGCATTTCTCCCTTTAAATGACCGTAAGACCAGGTGCAGCTGGTCAGTAAATTAAAGTCATCCACTGCCTACTTACACCCAGCCTGTGGGATAGAATCAAGAGACAGCCCAAGGCACTACAATGCAAAGTTGAGTAAGTTTTATGTCTAATATGAAGAGTGAAAAGGCAACTATGGGCAGAAGCGAAGGGTGTCATATGCAGTAACTAAAGGTTGCCCTGCTCGTGTGGTCTTCAGATGAGCTACGTAGAGGCCTTTCTCCTTAAGTTATTGTAAGGCTTCTGGAAGCTATACCTAAAGGGACAGGCTCTTTAGCAGGGTCTGTTGCAATAGGAGAAGGGGAAATGGTTACAAAAGAGAGGAGATTTAGATTGTATATAAGAAAAGTGAGTGTGGTGAGGCACTAGAACAGATTGGCCAGAGAGGTGGTGGATGTCCCATCCCTGGAGATACTCAAGGCCAGGCTGGATGGGGCTCTGAGCAACCTGATGGAACCGTTGGTGTTCCTCTTTGCAGGGGACTATATGATCTTTCAGAGTCTCTTCCAATCCAAGGATTCTACGTGGGGAGACAGAACAGCTTTCTACCCTTCTTTTCCCAGAAGTCACAACTTCAGATACACACCTTCACACGTGTGTGTGTATATATAAATACATACCCGTTATCGTAGCGCATCCCTCACACCTCCACATGGCCGCAGCTGGGCTGCCCCCGGGCCACCAATCCACCAGGCGTCCCCGCCCAAGGGGAACGAGCCGTCCCTCCCCGCCCGGGGTGTGGCCTGGCGGTGGCGGTGCTCTCGGCCGCTGCTGGAGGCGGCGGCGGCGGCCCTGGGCTCGTCCCACATATATCCCCGCCGCTCCGCTCGTCCCGGCTTGTCCTCGCTGCGTTCTGCGGCCGCTGGGCTATGGCCGGGTCCGTCAGCGCTGCCAGCTAGTCCCGGGGACCGAGCTGCCCTCCCTCCCGCGGCTTCGTATTCCAGCCTCTGCCCTCCCGTGTGCCGCTCTCCGCGAGGACTTCCCACCCGCGTGAGCGCTGCTCGACTTTCCCGTCCCTCGCTGCACCGCGACCGCGCTTTTCCTCTTCCTTCCTCGCGCCCCTCCCGCCGCTCTCCCCGCAGCCGAGGATGAGGCTGTCGCTGCTCAGCCCGCTGCTCCTGCTGTGCCTCAGCCGTGGCTCCGCTGAGATCCCGGCAGCCCGAGCCAAGTGCCCGACCCGCTGCGATGTCTCCAAGTGCCCCAGCCCCAGCTGCCCCAGCGGCTACGTCCCCGACCGCTGCAACTGCTGCCTTATCTGCGCCGCGGGAGAGGGGGACTCGTGCGGCCGCAAAGAAGACCCTCCCTGCGGGGACAGCCTCGACTGCCGCTACCCCATGGGCAAGCGCTTCGCCAAGGGGGTCTGCCAGTGCAAGCTCAGCGCCCAGGTGTGCGGCAGCGACGGCCGCACCTACGACAACATCTGCCAGCTGAAGGCGGTGAGCCGCAAGGCACTGCAGCACGGTCTGCCCGCCGTCGCCCAGGTGCAGAAAGGAGCCTGTGAATCGGGTAGGAGCATGGCAGGGCCTGCGGCGGGTGGTGTGAGCAGGAGGGTGGGGAAAGGTGAGGTTTGGGGTCGTTGGGAGGGCTGGGTGCTCCCCCAGGGTAAGGCAACCTGTCCTCATGGTGGTAGTTGCTGTGGTGGGGGTCAGGGACACGTGAAGGGATCAGGTCCTCTCTGAACAGCACAGATCCTTCGTCTTGATCCTCTGGTAGAGGTCGGGAAGGTTGCACAGTGGTGGCATGGTTATGGATACCTCAGTGTTGTGCCCATTGCATAGCAGTGACCGCAGGCACAGTTGTCAGGTCAGTACAGCACTGACATCCTCCAGGCAGCACTACAAGCTTCCCCTGATACCGTCTGCATCACCCTTGTTTTGGAATCATTAAGGTTGGAAAGAACACTGACATCATCTATTCCAAACACTGGCCTATGCCTGTGGCCTCTCTAGGCCATGTCCCTCAGTGTCATACCTGCTCTTTTATTGAAAACTACAGATGGTGACTTTACCACCTCCCTGGGTAGCCTGTTCCAATACTTCACTCTTCCTGAGAACTTTCTCCTAATGTCCAACCTGAACCTCCTGCGGTGTTACCTCTTGTCTTATTGCTGTTACCTGGGAAAAGAGGCTGACCCACACCTCTCTACAAGCTCCTTTCAGGGAGTAGTAGGGAGCAGTAAGGTCTCTCCTGAGCATTCTCTCCAGACTGAACCATCCCAGGGTTGGCACTCACTATTGATGCTTTTCAGTGACGTTACATGCCTGGGCTGCCCTGCAGAGCTGTTACAACACATCCTACACAGAGCACAGCCCTGTAGATGTGCTCTGAGACCTTCCCTGGAGATGTTAGCAGATGTTAAGTTTATTCAACGGATGAGTATCTAGAGGATACTAGTTAAAGCTGTGTAGCTTAAACTGTGCAGAAAAAGCACCACATAGAACATGTGAAGTATAGTCTTTCATCTGTTTTATTTTTCTCTGACAGGAGATCTTACAACCATAGTCATTCCCCTTGAAAGGGGAATGAACGCCTGCAAATTTTCCTTATGGTTTAAAATGCACAGTCAGGATATCAGACAGTCCTGTGTTTTTCATTAGCATATGGCCTTTGCTTGTCCTATGCTATTGTAATAATCTGCGATAACCTCAGGCTGGATGGTATAACTTTAAAAAGCTTAGTAACCACCTACATTGAATTTTTTTTTTGTCGTTGTTACCAAAATTGGTCACTTCATGGAAGTGTTAACATTTCTAGTTTATTTTCACACATTTCCTTGTATATTATTTTAAGGTGGTATTTCTACATCCTTTCAAATACTCTTCCTGGAAAGAAAAATCATGTGTGTAACAGGGTTTTAAATCATGTATTAGTGCATCCATAATGGCAGGTGAACCACTTAACCATTCTACTTATTTGTAGATAGCAAACTTAAAAACTAGGAGAGGAGAAAGGGGTATTGATGGCCTTTAAAACCTTTCTGTGTCTGGGGGACTTCTCATATATTCACTCTTCAAAGAAAGCAAACTGTGACATGAGGAGGGAGGAGGTCAAACAATATTCCCAAATTTTCTTTCTGAGTGTCTTTTCAGAGCCCAGGATTGCTCGGGTGCTAGCCCAGAGCTGTAATGATGAGTCTCTCCAGTATTTTGCAGTTGTAAGTTGCTGTTTGTTTCTTTGTATTCCCCATAAGCATCCATTGGCTTTAGTACTTGGTTGGAACTGGTTTGCTTGATATATTTAGAGTGTTCAACCAAAATGAGTGAGCTAGCTTGCGTCCAGGGGCTTAGATACTGTCAGGGGGTTGGAATATGATTTTTTTTTTTTTTTAAGAACTCCTCCTGAGCCTGCTGTTTAATAGGCTTAGGAATTCAGAGTATTGAAAAAAGCTTTTTTTTTTTTTTCTCCTTCAAGCAACTGTTTTAGTGTTCACTTTATTTTGGCTTTATGTTTTGTTCTGGTAAACCTCAGCTTAGTAAAAGCATCTGGTTCTCTGTGAAGTTTTAATTTTTTTTTTTACTCAATTCTACAGCTGTACAAACTGAAGCTCAAAGAAACTAAGTGTCTTGCCCAAGGTCATATTGAGTTGGTGGTTGAGCCAGGAATAGAACTCAGTTATGGTACTTTTTTTTTTTTTTTTTTTTTTAAACAATAACATGCAATGTCTGTAATGAGAGGTTTTAGAAGAAAATCAACAGTTTGAAGTTATTGTCGGGTGTCTCTATTTTCCCCACTGGTGAAAGAAATCTGGCCTCAGATGACTCAGAGTTTGGAGGCTTAATCTAGTTTAAAAGTCAATGCAGTTTTTTACTTACCCATGCATACGTTAAAGCAATTATAGGTAATAGTAGCCTTACATAGCATGACTTAGGTCTTTTCATAATCTTCAGAATCTCTGAGGAGCATCTCTAGAAACTTCTGCTTCTATCACAGAATCATGGAATGCCTTGAGTTGGAAGAGACCTTAAGGATCTTCAAGCTCCACCCTCCCACCACAGGCAGAGCCACCAACCTCCAGATCTGGCACTAGACCAGGTTGCCCAGGGCCCCATGCAACATGGTCTTGAAAACCTCCAGGAATGGAGCATCCGCAGCTGCTCTGTGTAGCCTGTTCCAGCACCTCACCATTCTTTCTGAAGAACTTCCCTATGACATCCAGTCTAAACCTTCTCTCTTTGAGAACCATTCCCTGTTGTCCTATTACCCTCTACCCTTGTAAAAAGTCGATTCCCTTCCTTTTTATAATCGGCTTTTAAATACTGGAAGGCTGCAATGAAGTATTATACTACTTATGCTGTTAGTTTTACACATCTGAGCAGACCCATAGTCTGGACCCATAGGAATGGTATGCAGAACTTCTGGACATATTTAAATTATGTGTTACAAGTAATTGTGATGGTGTTTTTTTTCCCACCTGTTTAAGTTAAGATATCATACTGTATGGTAATATACTGAAACAGTTAGCTTTTTCCTTTCATTTGTCACTTTCTGTCACAAAGTTGTATAGGTGAGAGTAATGCCATAAATGTTTATGTAAGACAAACTGTAGTCAAAGACCTGTTCCTACAGAGATTTATTTTCCACTGTAGCAAATACAAGATTGGACAGTATTGCACATCAATCTATTAAAATGTACTCGCTCAAAGTATTCATGAGATCACGTGTAATTTATGACTGGTTTATCTCAGATATTTTCTTACACAGAGGGATCTTCATGAGCTCTCAAAATAGCATTATCAGTACAGTTAATAATTCTTTGCAGTTTTATTTTGCTTATGGGTTCTTGAAAGATTGGTCCAATGTCAAAAGAAGATTAGGATTTTCTTTCTAAGAAAAAATGAAAGACTGATTAGAAAACCTTTGAAAAAGG